GGCCAAAATAGCTCAAAATACCGTGACTGAGCTCCTTCAAGAAGGTCATTTTCTATAAATTATGCGATGCGTAAGCATGTGAGTTGCCTGGATTCATCATTCATTCTGGTGTGGTCTTTCTTGTCGGCTTTCATAGACCTTAGGAATCTCGCCATAAAATTTCCAAAGCCCTATTGGAACCACGGTAAAAATTTATCGGAGAACTGAGAACTGAAATCAGCACAAAATTGCATACGTGTTTCTAAAATCGCGTTTCAAGATGACAGGTTCCATAAAACTTATGCCACTAAAATAAAAATTGGCATTTCAAAACTCGACGGTTTGGCTTTATAGGAAACCTCGCGACAATTTCTCACGTTCTCCGAAAGCTACCTTGCGTTGCGTCATTCTGTCATTTTTATTCTGTCAATGAGCGCAAGAATCCTGTCGGATATTGTAAAATTATGAATCGTCGCAAGTCGTTATTCATTCTTATTATGTGGCTTGTGTCTGTAGCCGATCCGAAGTGCGCTCTTATTGGCGAACTGAAGGGCATTATTCTCCAGTAATGCCCAAGGGCTGATTACGCAAAGACAGAGCAAAAGGCCATGTAGTAAACAGCTTTTTAACCTCGAATGTTCGGTCTTTACGGAAAAATCTCAAACCTTGGATGCCATATTGACCTCGCTATCGTTCAGTCAATACGGCTAGGTCTCGGTTTGAATTTTTCCCGTAAAGACCTCACACGCGACCAATAACTAGTTAATATGACTCGAATTTCTTTAACTTTAAGTTCTTTTGACTCACTGATTTGCCACTGTCCCGCGTCTTCGCTGCATCTCCACCATCCTGGCCTTTATGTCCATTGCCTCCGTTGGCAATGACGTCAAGATTACCAAGAACAACATCAGTGAATATTTCAACTGCAAAAAATTAAACATACTGAACATTTCACAAACACATATTGACATAAACATCTCATATAGGCCACGTTCGACATATCAATATTCTGTACGTGGCTCCGAGGCTTTCAGGACAAACTTTTATATTTGGCGGTGTTTTCTTTGTATCCAAGTCTCTTTTGGGAATTGAGAGACAAAAGAAATTTTAAAAAAAGTTGCAATTTCTGGCTGTAAGCCTCAGGCCAACTTTAGAATATTGATATATCGAACGTGGCCTATTAACAGGCAGTTGAAGGAATGGTGGTTTCCACGCCGCACGAGGACCACGCCCGGGGACATCGGAATGGAAAACTACATTTACAAAATTTATTAAATTAATTTAATACGCCAATGAAGGTGCAGTTAGCATGAGTGATATGGATTATTGAAATTCACGTTATCTTCGTTTCTCCAATACACACATCGTTGTTTTCAGCAAAACATGTACTACAGAAGGTGTACAACGCACGTGTAAAGCAGATAACCCAAACAGTTGTGAGTTCGAATCCTCACTCATGATCAGTCGACGCCAATCGGTAAATCGCGCATCCGGGATTGCCAAATAACCGCAGGCTTTTAGAGACGGACCATAATTTCTTTGAGGGGGGAGGGGAAATTTCCCAAAAAAAATTCCTGTACAGCAAAAATTGCAGAAAAAGCAATCATGCAAGGAGAACCACGGGAAAAAAAAAATAATAAAGTGCTCTCTACTAACCAGGGCCTACTTTTGGTGTTAAAAAATGCTTGCGCAACCTATTGCCCACCAAAAAAATCATGCAGAACCTATAGGTGAGAAAAACAAAAACAGAAAAATGCCCAAACCCGCGCAAAGAAATAATGGTCCGTCCCTCATTACCCATCCTCGACTCAAAAGCAACACGCAAGTAAAATCGACAGAAGCGAAGGACTATCTTTCGGCGCGGCCACAAGTGAGCTTTGTTCGGAAGAATATCGAAACGACTGCTCATAAAGTCCAAAATTCTAAAATGAGAAAAAAATTGTCTTCACTTTGGCGAAATTTTATCTAGTATTCAATTTTCTTCAGCCTAATGAAACATATTCAAGAGAGAAAACGAAAAATGTAGGCAACTCATGAATAATTTCTGACTTGACCTGTTTTAGTTAAATTCCCTCTTGAACAATCAATGTACATGCTGAATCGGGAGCAGAAATTCCTTTAACACAACAATAGATATTGAGGCAGTTCAACTATTTTGACTTCTTACCTTTAGGCCCGTCAAAGCCGTGCTTTCCATCTTCTCCATCTTTTTCGGTTTGCACTCGAGTTTTGTAAACCTGGTTCCAGTTTGGTGCAGAAACGTCAAGTTGACTTCCTGGAGCAGCAACGATTCTTCTGGCAAACAACTTTAAATTTGTGATTCCGTGTAGCTTGACTGATCCCTGGAGAGGTTTTAAAATAAGTATGTTAAAATTAGAACACCCTAGAATTAACCGCAGTCAAACTTACTGGAGCCATTGAAAATAAGGTACTGTCTCACACGAGGGTGGTTTTTAATTTTAGTGTTTTAGCTCCGTTGATAGTTTTAGAAGTAGCTGAGAGTATTAAAACAAGCAACGATGTTTGTTTAATAGGGTTCGTGAATTCGAACTTTAAACTAACGTCTTATATTTGAAATAAATGACGAAAGACAGAGGTGCTTCTCCAATTTTACGGAGATTCGCCCGGGATTAATTACAAAATTTAACAGATACTCAGTGTGGGAATAATAATACCTGAATATAAAGGGTGTCTGTGAGGATTTCCACTTGCGGTGCGTGGCGTACATTTTGCCGCGTTGCATCAAAGTTTAATCTCCTTTGAGTCCTTAATTGTTCTTTGATATAATTCATGTGAACAACTCGTCCAAGAACGCGATAGTGATCTGGAAAAAAAAATGTATTATGTAACTTTGTATATGTACATATTAACTATGATATGTAGTTCCTTCGGGGATACACGAGTCTCCCTTTAACAATTATTCCACGAGCGCGCGTTGGACCGAGTTGGCTGTAACCATCTCATATCCAACAAGCGCAAGTGGAATAATTTTTTTGTTACAAACGCCCCAAAACTGTAGAAAACTAGGCTACAATGAAAAAAAGCCCCGATAGTTACGTGTACGCTTTCCATATTTGTAGAGCTTGTTATAATTGCTCATATATGATGGCTAAGCCAATGAAATCGCACGATCTAATGACCCAGTTTTTAACAAATATTGATATACTGTTTCCAGAGAATTACTTAAGCTTGTAATAAAAACCAAAACAACAGAATTTCTCTTTGTCGTCCTCTAAATGCATTTTGGCATTCTAATAGAGCGTATGCACATGACCTCAGGGCAGCCGTAATGGTGTTCCAAAACAATAAAACGACCGCCACGTTGGTGTACCACGTTGGAGTTAACTCTTTCCCTATGCAAAAATTTTCTTCTGTTCCAATAAATTTACATGATTACTAATGAAAACGCCCTATAGTAGAAAATTGAAGCTGGCTTAAGTTTCCTAAATGAATCATTTTTGTCAAATAACTTAAACTTGCAAACATCTCCTCTGACCTTTCTTAAATTCGCAGATATAAGGTGTATTAATTCCACCACGTTGATCACTAAAGAGGCCTTGAGATCCAGGCGGGTAGTCCTTTGACATCACAGCATGGTTCCCGTCACCAGACGGTTCGTTATCTTGCCATTTGTCTGTAATGGTCAGCGGCTCTCCGCTTACCCACTCCCAGTTGTTTTCTCTTTTCCTTAATCCTATGTGCCAATCATTGGATCCTTGGAGGGTACGTTTTTGAATTTCTCTGTTGATAAACTGCCATTCTTCTTCCGTTTCCATGGAAACAAGGTCTCCTTTTTGGCGTCTGCAACTTTTTCGGTTTTTAGACCATGGTTTGCCTGATTCATAAAACATGTAGCAGGAACTGCCAAAACATATATTTGAAGTCGCTAGAAAGAAAAACAGAAACTGGTAATTATTAAGCTGCCTTTATATTAGCTTATATTAGAGACATAATTTGTCTTGCGCTAGTTTTTTGTGCTAGTAGTGTGTGTGTGCCTTAATTTTTGGTATTAGTGTTAGCAGTGTGCTGGTAAATTATGTTTTGGTTTGTGCTTTAAAAATGTGAAAAAGCTAAGCGTCGTAAGCTGTGTACTACTGAGTATTGCATTAGCATTAATTTTTGTAAGTAGGGTAAAGTGACAATATTGTAAGTAATGATCGAAATCAAATTGTTTGTAGTACTTTGTATTGTAATTAGTTTCAGCAGTGTTTTGTTGTGTTTCGTAAATAATTAAATTAACCAATAATAATAAAATTCGTCTCGAACAACTTGGAAAGGTGTCTGGTTATATGTGCCAATTTAAAGATAGCGACCAGGTGAATAATTTTTGAAGGCGAATCACTGAACCGCTTTGTCTATTTTGAAGGATAAATAAGTTAAGAACAGTGGCCTTGGTTACTATTTACTCTCCCATGTGTGACCTAGCCTTCTGCGCAGACGCAAGATGCACATAACCGCTAAAAAAAACGAGACCGCGAAACCCTTGAAATTCGTCGAAAATGTTGCGAGACCATTATGGTTTTTGAAGGTCCGTTCGCCGCACCTAATTTTGATTCCGACCAATAGCAAACCTCAACGTGCAAAACATCAGCAATGAGCGTGTAAAGAGGAGTATAAAATTGAGTATAGGCTGTTTTTACAAAGTACATGTATAAAGTATTTGGGGTTTTTTTTTCTTTCCTGTAAAACTTAGAATCCGTCTTTATTTCGGCACGCACCCAGAGGTTCGTAACTGTGGAATAGCAGCCTCTACTTCTCAATGCAAGCACTTCATAGCACACGTCTTGAACATGTATCTACTTAAGCTGAAGTACGCATAATCTTACTTGTTCCCATGTCGACGATAGAGGGAGTCTGGATCCAGCTCATGCTGGGAATTTCTAGATTTTCATTTTGGGATCGATCACCTAATGTGGTCTCTGCACATCCACCNGACCATGGTTTGCCTGATTCATAAAACATGTAGCAGGAACTGCCAAAACATATGTTTGAAGTCGCTAGAAAGAAATAAAGAGACTGGTAATTATTAAACTGTCTTTATATTAGAGGCACAATTCTTGTCTTGCGTTAGTTTTTTGTGCTAGTAGTGTGTGTGCCTTAATTTTTGGTATTAGTGTTAGCAGTGTGCTAGTAAATTATGTTTTGGTTTGTGCTTTAAAAATGTGAAAAAGCTAAGCATCGTAAGCTGTGTACTACTGAGTATTGCATTAACATTAATTTTTGTAAGTAAGTAGGGCAAAGTGACAATATTGTAAGTTATGATCGAAATCAAATTGTTTGTAGTACTTTGTATTGTAATTAGTCTCAGCAGTGTTTTGTTGTGTGTTCGTAAACAAATAAATTAATTAATAATAAAATTCGTTTCGAACAATTTGGAAAAGTGTCTGGTTATGTGTCAATTTAAAGAT